ACCCCATCATAGAACCCTATAGAACCTTGAAAGGGGACCCTGTAGTGCCCTCAAGGGGCACCCCATTATCAAACGCAGTAGTATGTCAAATTGGAGCCTATGACAGAACCCTATGGTACCCTGAAGGGTGCTAGAGTCCTATGGTATATACACCCTTACAGAGGCCGAGCCCCACTTTATGTAGGGGCCTTAATAATTAGAATAGGGCTTTGGGGTACAAACAGAAACAAGGAACCCCCGAAATAGCATAGGCAATTATTGAGGCCCCCATAGTACTTAAGGGAACCCTCTTCTGCTCCATGAACCCCGGAGGGAGCTCCGTTTGAAGGACGCCGGGCACGTCGGTGGTCGTGTGACCGCCGGACCCGAAGATGTCTTCTTGCACGTGGTAGTAGGCAGCCTGGGTTCAGGGTTTAGGGCTTTTAGGGTTTAGGTTTAGGGATTAGGGGTTAGGGGTTAGGGTTAAGGGCTTGGGGTTGTGGTAGTAGGCAGCCTGGGTTCGCGTGGCTTCAGGGTCGGGTATAGGGTGCAGAGTTTCGCAGGCTTAGAGGTCGGGGGGTTATGGTCTGGTGCCTTGCTAAACCCTAAGTTCCGATAAACGAAATCCTTGTGGATGCTCTGGTGTTCGATGCCCCTAAACCCTAAACCCTAAACCCTAAACCCCTATCAAGTTCACTGTTCCAAAATTGCTATCACTTAAAGCTCGGTGTGCAGAAGTTGCGAGACCCGGAAGGGTCGTGCATCGGATCAAAGATTCAGTGGGAAGGCTAGAGATGTCAGCTGTTTCTGGATGAGTGGGTAGGATTCAGAATAAGGGTGGTTGTCAAAATTATGGCCCTTCTTTGGGTACCTAAAATATGACCATAATTTTGACAACCACCCATGTAGGAGTTAAAAGACTTTTGGTGGTTTAGGGCTTGGGCTTTGGGAGGGTTCAAAGCCAAGAACATCGGTTAGGTTCGGGCTTGAGGGTTCCTTGGCTTTCGCGCTGCCGGCAAGGGGCACAGTTCACCGTGACGCCGTAGACCGCCTCAGCCGGAGTTTGGCAGTTTGGCACCGGGTTGAGAGTAGCTATAGCGAGCCCCAGAAAGTTGGAACATGGATTTAGGACGAGTGGTGATGGGATCTCCTATACTTTAGCTTAAGGGGATGAGGAGAATGATGGTCCAACTTTCTGGCTTCTACTGTAATTCAACGTGGGGTACAAGAGCTGCACATGTTTCCCTGGACAAGGATCTCCGGACACACATGCCTTTATCCTTCTGGCTCGTGAGGGATTTTGCGGGCCCCCGGAGAATGTGTGTGGGGATCACCAAGATCATGTTCCAGGTCGCCGGGGTCTTGAACCTGAAACAGATCTAAATCCAAATGATTCCATAGCCGACAACAGAAGACCCAGAATAGGGGCCTTGATATAGGCTGGGCTTTCGGGCAATTGCCTACATCATACCGGACGATGGCTGCTTACGTGCTGACCGTCTGAAGGCTCCGCTGTTGCTAGCGAGATTTTGCTCCAAGTGCTGAAAACCCTGCCGACCCGAAAAGACCGGATAAGAGCGAACAAAGGCGTTTAACACTTGTTCCTTACTGCTTGAAATCGGGTTACAAGGGTATCTTATAGTATAGGGGTACAGAAGAGATATAGATCAAGAAGGATTCAGACCCCTAAACGGCGGATGACGAGTTTCTCGGTTCACTGTCGGGCTTGGGGGGGGGGGGGGTGGTTTGCGGCTCTGGGCTGCTAGGATTGCTTAAGTACAGGGCTGAAGCTTACAGTTTGGCTGTTCAGCGGTTGTGCTTCCACCAGTTGGGCACCTACAACCTATTTCGAGCCCCACTTGCAACCTAACTTCCAGGCTCGCCGCGGGATATAGAAAGAGCCATAGTTGGAGTACATCCATCCCAGGCTTTGAAACCCTGCAGTCTGAAATCGTCCACTGCAACCGCATCGCCTGCATTGCGCAAGTCGCGCAGAAGAGCTTGATGCCAAGTATGGTGAGGCCTGCCGCCCCCATCTGCGTTGAAACCACTTAGAGGATCATGGGACATAGTAAGTAGGCCATAATTGGGGTTATAAGTCCTCTAAGTGGGGCTATCCTAATTATAGCGTACTTCTAACCTTACTTACAAAGCCCCATGATCCTCCAAGCAAGGCCTCTATTGAAAGTATACCTTGGGTACTGCCCCCAATTCCAAACCCAATGAGACACCAAAACCCTACACCCTAAACCCTCAAACCCCCAAGCCCTTAACCCTAATCCTCAAACCCCGAAGCCCCTGAAAACCCTCAACTTCGAAACCCTGAACCCTGAAACCCCTCAAACCCCTAAACCTCTGCAACCCCGAAAACCACAAAAAAAATTAAACTTCGGAAGGAGCCTTTGGTCTGCATCAGCCCTAAACCCCTAAAGCCTTATAAAACCCTAAAAGGAACCCCTAAACTCTATACTACCCTTATAGAACCCTAAAAAGGAACCCCAAACCCCCCAAACCCTAAACCCTAAACCCTAAACCCTAAACCCCTAAGCCTTTGGTCTGCATCAGCAGGATCTTCACCGATCCGGTGAGCTCTGAGAAAGACTCCGAGGCTCGCGGCACAGACCTGAAAATCTCCCGGGGGAACTTAGAGGATCAGGGGACTTAGTAAGTAAGGTCTCGGGTTCCATTAAAGCGTTCCTTTAAGGGATCCATAAGGGCTACTTTGAGGATTCTTTCAGGGTTTTGGGGGGTACTTAACGGATCAGGGGACTTAGTAAGTAAGGTTATAAGTACCTTAATTGGGGTTATAAGTAGTTAAAAGTATAGTTACCTTACTTATAACCCTAGTTACTACGGCTTAGTAACTAGGGTTATAAGTAAGGTAGTAACTAAGCCCCATGATCCTCTAAGAAGGCTTTGGGCTCCTTTAAAGGGCTCCTTTTTAAGGGCTCTTGAAGGCCTCATTGACACAAGATTTACGGGGATTTAGAGTTTAGGGTTCACGGTTTTAGGGTTTTAGGGTTTTAGGGTTTAGGGTTCAGAGTTCCAACTTTCTGGGGGCTTCTACTATGTGGGCCTTCATCAGAAGAAGAATAGGGTTCCATAAGGATTAGAAAGGGATAGTATTACTACTGGCTCCGACGTCTGCATATTCTATATGTTAAGCCCTGAAACCTATACAGTATAGATTTTAATTGGCTCTAACCCCCTGAAATGTCTACTGTAACCCGTCGGCTTTTGAAACTGAAGAGGCTAACTTCAAAGCATGATATCCGAAAGCCCACAGCAAGCAGACGATACTGCGAAGGTTTCTTAATTTCAATTGCTGAGGCTTTGGAATTCAGGGCGGGGGCATGAGGATTCTTAGTTTCAAGGGTTTACGACTTAGGGGTTTGGGGCTGAGGGCCGTGGATTCTCAATTTCGAAGTCTCTGGAGTAGAATCAAGGGGTTACCGGAGCAAGACTGGGGCGCCTTATCTGTTTAAGCCACAGACGTAAATAAGAAGATCCGAAAACATGCGCACGCGCGTGAACTCGATGGAAACTATGCAAACAGGACTGCTGGTTGAGCGGAAAAAGGCCGAACACAAGCCCTGAAACCATTTTTTTATCAGGATGCTATTTTGTAGGATATGTGCATTTATATGTGTATGTATATACATACATATATGTGTGTGTCTATGTATATACGGGTTCGAACTTCGCTTTTGTAGTTTAGGAGCCTGACATTGAGCACCCCCAAGTTCTTCTTAGTGTGCTTGACATGGAGCCCACCATGTTGGGGACTTCCCACCCGGGCTTTCTTAAGCGGCACCCGAAACCCACAAGCCCTGATTACCCAGTTAACGTTTTGGGCTTTAAGCTTTGGGCTTGTCGTTTAGATTTGGGTTCTAGGGTCTAGGGTTTAAGGCTTCGGGGCTGGACCCACAAGCTCCAAACCTCACCATCCCAAAAGACTGAACCCCTCGTAGGAACCCTCATAGAAACCCCTTGCGAGGAACCTTCATAGGTCCCTTTATACCATAGGGACCTTTAGGGAGTAGGGGGGAGTGGGGTAGGGGACTATACTTCCTTAAACCAGCCTTGTTAAGTCCGTTTTACGGGCACTAAGGCCCCCGACTCCCCCTCCCTAAACCCTAAACCCTAAACCCCAAACCCCAAACACCAAACCCTAACCCCCCTCCCCCCTACCCCCCTACCCCCCTAAGGATCCCAAGGATTTATAGGAGCTCTCGGAACCCGTATCGGGACCCTTAGAAGGATCCCGAACTTGGATCAACCCCCATGCTGCGCCCCGAAGGCCCTAAACCCTGAATCAGCAGCTCCAAACCCCAAAACCTTAAACCCTAAAACCGCAAAACCCTAAATCATAAAACCCTAAACCCCTAAACCAGCAACTAAGAACCCTAAAACCCCAAACCCTAAACCCTAAAGTTCTAAACCCTTAACCAACAACAAAAAAACCTAAGACCTGGTTGCGGCGAGAGGCGTGTCATTCTGAATCTCAAAGATTCCTTCGCACAATCCGTGAAAAGACGGGTGGGTTTAGTGTTTGGGGTTGGTACCAAGGCTAGGGCGCCAAAGAAGGTTTAGGCTTTTGAGCTGCTAGGCTTCTGGGCTTTTGGGTTTATTGCTTTGGGGTTTATTAGGGCTTTTGGGTTTATTAAGGCTTTTGGGTTTAGGGCTTAAGGTTTGGGGTTGAGGGCTCAGGGCTGCCATTAAGTGCCAAAACAGTACGGGCCTTGGTCCCAGAACCTACTGTCTACTCTAGAAGCTGCCCTCCACCCTGTAATAGTGACTATAAGGACTATAATATGGCCTATTATATTCCTATTATACCACCATTACAGGGTGGGGGCAGCTTCTAATGTCTTCTCTGTAACCCAAACATTGAGGTACTTCGATCTCCTTGGGTTAGTCTCCAGGGTTTGGTGCAGATGATAACATAAGCCATGCAACAATGGCTGCACAAGAACACTGCTATCAACTAGTTTTTGCCAAAAAAACACAAATCCAGAAGCCTAAACCCAAACCCAAAGCCTTTGGACACACAGAAATGTAAGGGCACAGACGCACTTCACAATGTATATACATGTACACGCTTCTGTATTGTGTATGTTACTGAACATAGTTGCATGTGTAAATATGTGTAGACGTATACGGATGGGTCTAAACCTGCGCATACGTAAGCGAATGCGTGTAGGTGGATGCCTGAACGGAAACAATGCAGTCAGGCGGCTGGCATTCATCCGCTGCCGCAAGTACTCCAAGACGAGCAGGCCGAAGACAAAAAGAGCGTAGGACTCGTACATGTCCCCAAGCCAGAAACAAGCGTCGTAACCTGTTGAAGAAAGGGTTGAGGAATTAGCATACTATAGGGGCCTGAGAGTGTTGTGCTGTAGGACACTTCAGAGGGTTTCGGGTGTCGAATTTTGCGGCGGCAAGCTGCGAACTTAGGGTTCGGGGGAGGTGGGCTTGAGGCTTTGGTGTTCATTTTTCGGGTTTAGGGTTTAGGCTTTGGGGTCTGTGGAGGCGTTGACGTCTACGATTTAAGCTCTAGTCTTTTAGGACGCTGGGGACGGGATCAGGGAACTTTGTAAATAGTAAGTACGTAGGATATAAATGGGGTTCGACGCCCCTTGATAAAGGATATTGTACTTGTAACCCGACTTCTCTTTTAATCACTAAGTCCGCCGATCCCTCAAGCACCTTGTTCCTGAGCCTGTAAACATCTACAGCCCGAACACCCAGAAGTCCCAAAGCCAAACCCGGAACCTCAATCGAGCTGTACATCTAAAACCTAAGCAAGCTAAACCCTAAACCCTCAACCTAAGATGCTGGGAAAGAGCAGGGAAGTCACAGCGTCTTCCCCTAAGGCTTCGGATGGTAGGGTTAGGGTCTCAGACTATGGGTCTAAGGTTTCGGGATTTGGGTTTGGAGGCGCCTGGAACTCCTCTGAAATTGAATACAATGACACCCCAGGTGCATGCAAGCCGAGATGGGAGTTCCCTTAATTTTGGGGTCCTTATAATAAGGATCCTACTATTTAAGCCCTCGACCTATGTAACACTGAAACCTTATGAGTTCAAATAGGGCATATGTACTACTATGTTAGGGAACCCTGAGGAGTATTATTTGGGCCTGAACCTGACAAAGCTAGCACTTGAAAATCCGGAACCCCTGCTTTATCCTTCTGCAACCCGGACGTGATGTAATCCTGAAGGTCCCGGACCCTAGGGTTCAGGGTTTAGGGGCCCTCTAAGCAACAAATCCGGCCTGAACCCGATGAGGATTTGGGGTTCAGGGTTCCGACACCTAGAATCAGAGCCCCGTCGACTCAAACTTCCATCCGTCAGCCAAGAGGCTATCTTGCAAGAATCTCTTTCTTAACTCGTAATTCCTGAAGCAAGTTGCGTTTTGCGGACCCCTAAAGCCCAAAAGCCCTAAAAGCCCGAAACCCCCAAAGAGTTCAGGGTGTCCAGGTGTGGGATGGTTTCTGCTTCTTGGGCGAAAAACGCAAGACTGTGGGGCTTTCAAGCCTTGGGGCTTTAGTGTTTAAGGTTTCGGATTTAAGGTCTGGATTTTTTTTTAAGTGCAGTGGCCTTTCGCCCCCGTGGCCGGTTTAGGGGTTGAGGTTTCAGGGTCTTGGGCTTAGGCTTTAGGGGGGTTTCTCCAGGCGGCTGGGCTTCTGATGGTTCAGACTTGGCCCTACCCAGAGACTCCAATATCTCCTAAATAAGGAACATTCCCGAAATCATATGAAGGATCCTACTACAACTTAAGGGGTATTCCTTAATTAAAGCATGTTGGAGTCTTAGGGTACGCCCTAAACCCGATTTTGTTTGTGCGCCTGTCAGCCTGCCGGGTTCGGCATTGGTTACAACAGAATGTCCATAGCCTAGGCCACTTTAGGTAGCACACCCTGATAGTAGCCGCGTTGTGGATAATCAGGATCCGATCATACCTCTTGTGGTTCGAAGTATTTACGGTACTGCACGCTCCTAGCCCTAAACCCTAAACCCACTAAAACTTCAGCCCTAAACGTATGGAACCCGGCAGGAAGTCTGGTGGGACTCCCCTTTTGAAGGTAATTCCCAAACACGCCAAACCCGAAACTGTAAAGATCAGAAACCCAAAGTCAGAATCAAGCCAATCAAGCTCTATACCCTGAAACCCAACATAACAATCAAGCCCTAAACCCTGAAATCCTAAATCAGAATCAAGCCCTAAATCCTGAAACCCCAAACCCCATCCTCACACCTATCCCTGAAAAGTTTCTGGTTCGGACCATCCCCCGGCAATTCCGCTGAAAGTCTTCGGGCTCGGGTTGTGGGTTGCAACACCCGAAAACACTACTTGGAGGATCATAGGACTCAGTAAGGCCTGGGGTTCCTTAAAGGGTTCCTTTAAGGGAGCTATAAGGGTTGCTATAAGGATTCTACAAGGGTTTTAGGGGGGTACTTAAAGGATCATGAGAAAGGTGTAGGGCACAGGGTTCCTTAAAGGGATCTAGAAGGGTTCTACAATGGGAGGATCATGGGACTTAGTAAGTAAGGTTATAAGTACCTTAATTGGGGGGTATAAGTATAGTTACCTTTCTTATAACCCTAGTTACTAAGTCCCATGATCCTTGAAGTAGACCCGCGTGCCATGGTTTAGGACCTAGGGGTTTAGGGTTCAGGGGTTTAGGGCTGAGGATTTACAGAATGAGGGTCTGGGGTTTAAGGTTCAGGTTTCAACACGTTAAGAATCCTAAACCCGAAACCCCAAAGCCCCGTGAGGCGGTGGGCCTTTGGGTTCGGATTTACAGTTTAGGGATGCTTAAAGGGTTCTTATAAAGGGTCTCTGAGGGTTACTAGAAGGGCTACTATAAGGGCTTAATATAGGCGCCTTCATGGGATTTGGGGAATTACTTTAAACCCCATAAATTTGGAAACCTGATTAAAGCCAAATAGTGCTGGGATTCCAACTTTTTGGGGTTTACTGTAGGCTTCCGGGAAACTGTGGAGATTCCAGGTGCCCAACTTACCTACCTACGTCACTCTACCGTTGAACCCTAGACCCCAAACCCTGAACCCAAAAACCCTAAACCCTTTGGGGCTTAGGGTATGGTATGTTGAGGCCGATACAGGGCTTGATGGAGGTTGCAGAGGAAAAATGCCTCTGAGGATTCCGCGATAAAGGGCCCTAAAGCATATCTGCGCGTTGAGTCATATCCCCTGCTGTAGGGAGTATGGGTATCTCAAGTCTGTGCCGATGAAGCTCACTAACACCATGAGACACATCTCAACAAAATAGCAGAGCGAAGGATCGCTCCCTAAACACAGTACGTGGGTTCGGAAGTCACAAACCATGGATGGCTTAGGCTTTGCTTAAGAAAATCCAGGTATTTTCGGTGTTTGCCGCTTTGCGGAGATGGGAGTTTCCGAAAATAGGGGGCCCTGATATAGTACCCTAAATAGTAGGATCCTTATTATAAGGACCCAAAAATGAGGTACCCCTTGTTTTCGGTTATGCGTCTGGGTTTGGGATGGCTTAGGCTCTGTGCATAGGCTTGTGCCCTAGGGTTCAGGGTTTAGGGCTTTCCTGCAAAAACCGACATAACTGCATAGCACGCCGACTAACCCCGTGAAAAGGCCCAAAACAACTTTCTAGCACCAGGGGCGGGAAGTGATGTGCATCGCCAGAGTTGTTAATGGCGATGCCCCACCTGATCTTGTCGTCATTTCAGGCTGAGGATGTCATCCCCGAGCCCTTAACCCTACACCTTTCGGGTTTGGGGTGTGGGACTCGGGACTCAGGATTTAAGAAATTGACAGCTTCTGGAAGCATCTGGGCTTTTGAAACTGGAGCTTCGCGCTTTGGGGGCATTGCACCTACAAAGCTTGCAGCGTACAGCCGGTTTACGATCTGGGGCAGGGATGTCTCTTGTAGGATAACCAGAAGACAGAGGTCGCAGTAAGACTCAGCAGTAGTAGTAGTAGTAGTAGTAGTAGTAGTAGTAGTAGTAGTAGTAGTAGTAGTAGTAGTAGTAGTAGTAGTAGTGGTAGTGGTAGTGGTAGTGGTAGTGGTAGTGGTAGTGGTAGTAGTAGTAGTAGTAGTAGTAGTAGTAGTAGTAGTAGTAGTAGTAGTAGTATCAGTAGCCGCAGTAGCAGCAGCAGCAGCAGCAGGAGTAGTAGCAGTAGTAGTAGCTTTAGCAGCAGCAGGAGTAGTGGTGGCAGTAGCAGCAGTAGTTCAGCAGTAGCAGCACGAGCACCAGCAGGAGCAGTAGCAGTAGCAGTAGCAGTAGCAGGACCAGGAGCAACTGCATTAGCACTTGATGTACTCACTGCTTTTACCATCAGCCTGACTTCCAGAGACTCAATCCGTAAACCCTAAATGCACACCTCAAGGCCCATAGCTTCCTCTCCGGGGTTTTGGCTTTGGGAGAAGGACGATGAAGACTCGAGCTTAGAGTTTGAAAGCTCCGTGCAAACATTTTTACGCCCCGCACGCGAATTCTACGCATTCTTTGACGCCCAAGTTCGGGTGTGGCAGCCCTGGGCCCCTAATCCCTGAACCCTAAACCCCCATGCTGAGCTGCTGAGTTCATAAGCTTTCGGTTCTTGAAAGGATAGTATGATGCCAAAAAAATGTAAAGTGCACTCCTCAGGTACGAAGTGTTTGGGGGGGCCGATGACTCCAACATGTCGAAGACCAGTGGCATCCTGATCACGCCCTGGAAGGACATGGTGCCATAGAACAACCTCTGGGCGCTTTGGGGTGGTGGGAGGTTTCAAGCGTTTATTTGCAGGAAATGGGATATTTAAAACAGGGCTTTGGAGCATTTGATACACATTAAACTCATAAACTTATGTTGGAAATTATTCAGGTCGGCTCTATCAGAGGTGGGATACAAGCCGGCTCATGACTTCCATCAAGACTGTGCTTGCATCCGGGTCCGACGACACTTACGGGTCCAGGCTTAAGGGTTTAGGGTTTAGCAATTTGGGGATTCTTGGTGACCCAAGACCCTAAACCCTAGGGTTCAGGATTTAGGGTTTTGTTTGGGCTTCCATTCTCAAGGAATCAAGTGACATATGCTTGAGACTCCTATGTGAACTCCGCGAAACCGTAGTTCCAGCAAGTGACAGTCAGCCGGTGAGCACGACTCAAGCGATGCAAACCAGCCACTTTGCATAACCCTGATGAAGCCGCAGCGGTACAAAGTACATCAGTGCCCTGCAAAATACCAAGCTTTCAAGCCGAATCACTCATTCTACGAAGAAAACCTGCCGCGACGTTGCCCTAAACCGGAAGCCCCAACATCCCGAAAAAAAAGAACTGCACCCTCAACCCCCAACTTCCCAAAACAAGACGAAGTGACGGTAGCAGGATGATTCGAAGTGCCCGGTCGTGCATTTCGAAGGTGTGCTCGGTCAGCGCATCACCCCTGGCTTGGGATTGAGGGCTTAGGTTTCAGTCTTATGGCGAGACTCGAAAGGTGGCAGGCTTAAGGATCCCATTCTTTGGGGGGTGACACCCTCCCCCCAGAGGTATAGGGGTTTACTGTATAGGGGTTTAGCTTATTGGGCTTGTGGTCTGGGGTTCGAGGTGCGGAGCTTTGAGTTTGGGCTAAACCTTGCCATCCACCCGTCGCCTTTTCATCCAACTGAGGATCCGCAGATGCTGCCAGGTGTGCCACGCGCATACGCAATAAGTTGCCTTGGATGCGGCTGTCGGCACAAGTTGATGGCTTCAGGTTTAGAGTTTTGTGCAGCCAAATGCTCAGACTCCAGACCCTATTAACTTCAAAGCCCTGAACCTCATACCCCCTAAACCCTAAACCCTAAACCCTAAACCCTAAAGCCTAAACCATAAACCCTAAACCCTAACCCTAAACCCAAGGCCCGACACCCTAAACCAGGAAACCCACACCCTAACCCCTGCAAACCAGGCTACTCCATGCCAGGCTTTAAGAACCCCAAAAACTCCGAAAGTCTGTAATCAAGGATCAGATACCTTATCCAATAGGTTTAGGGTTTGGGGGTTTAGGGGCTTAGAGGTTTGGAGGTTTAGGGCTTAGGGGTTAGAGCTTATCTTTGGCAAGGTTGCAGGTACTTTCCTTCATTAACCCATAGCTCGCACAGTTTGTACAGAAAGTACCGCATCTTTACAGAACCCTAACAGGAGCCGTTCTTAATGCCACTCTTGCTCCCCTATAGGAACCCTTGTAGTATCTGGGATCCCTCATAGACACCCTTAGAAGAAATCCTTTCCTTTCGAGGCCCCCATAGTATCGTGATGACAGAAAACCATTGCAAAAACCTGTTTAGATTCCTTTTTGGAACGTTTACAGAACCCTTGTAGAATCTGAGAGGAACTAGTAAAAGCGAGGTCGCAACCAGGAAGATAGGAGTGACCATCGAAAGCCCCCGAAGGTAGGGGTAGTCAGTGAGGTCGTCTTCCTTCAGCCAGTCAAAGCGAGGAGTACTGCGGAATCTAGAATATTACGATTTCGGATATTTTAAGGTTTAAGCGCTTGTTGGGATGCGGGCTCACGCGTGCGCTGTAGGCGAATGCGCGATGGAATCTCTGGGGTTTCTAAGCCCGAAGTCCTGAAGGTCAAACCCAAAACCCCAAACCGCAAGACCTTACATCCTGAACCAAACCCTAAACCCTAACTTAAACCCTAAATTCCAAACAACTCACTTCCAGACGCAAGTCCTCACCACCGGTGCCTGACAAAGCCAAAGCCCTCAAGAAATGCATAGGACCGAACATGTATCAAGCAGGGTTTGTGCAGGCTAGGGTTCGGGGTGACACCGGCCCTTTAGGAATGGAATGCTGTTAAGTGTATGTGCTGGCTTCTTTCGAGACACCTACGAATAGACAGAGAGATGTAAAACCAGATACGTACAATACCCTATGATACCGTACAGTACCATTTAGAACAACAAAATACAAAGCAATGCAGCGCAATACAATACAACACAAGACCATACATTACAAAACCGTACAGTACATACAGAGATTAACAAGACGTATGCACAGCTTTCCAGCGTTCTCGACAAAGACACGTTATGGGATTCTTGCAAAGGTCCAAGAACCTACAAGCAAAGCATAAGAACACCCATCGCACTCCTGCTGCCACTCATCGAAGCTGTCGATATCGTGGTCACTGCGCATCCTGGATGTCACGTCTAATCCCGACACCGAGTACTTAAACATTTAAACCAGAGCCGAAAGCCCTGTAAAGCCCTGCAATCCTAAGCACAAAAAGTCGCTCAATCGTTGATCTTCACTGAATACTAAACCCTAAACCCTAAACACCTAAACCCTAAACCCTGAACCTAAGCCCAGAAACCCTAGACCCTAATCTTATACCCAGGCTCCAGAAGCGTCAGATCAGCCAGCTACCATAAATCTGAAGATCCCTTTTTGGGTGGTTCTCTAACTTAGCGTCCCTTTGTAGGGTTCCTTAAAGGGATCTGTAGGGGTTTCTGTAAGGTTTCTATAAGGGTCCTTTCTAGGGTTCCTTAAGAAGATCTATAAGGGTTTCTGTAAGGTTTCTATAAGGGTGGTTCTCTAAATTAGTGACCCTTTCTACGGTTCCTTGAAGGGATCTATGAGGGTTTCGAAAAGGTTTCTATGAGGGTGGTTCTCTAAATGAGGGCCTCTTTCTAGGGTTCCTTACAAGGATCTATGAGGATCTCTATAATGTTTCTAAACGGGTACTATAAGGGTATTTCTCTAAATTTAGGTCCCCAAGAAGGTACGGCACGGTTATGAAAAGGCCCCTAAAACGGACCCTAATTCAGAGAACTACCCATATATGAGAGCCACAAAGGGTTAGAGCATGAGACACGGCTGGACAGCGCTGGGGTTCCTTCAACTCATACTCACGCGTGCGGATAACCACGTTGCAACTGCCTGGTGGTCCGTACCCAAAAAACCCCGTCAACGAATCCTGTAGACAGAGACTCCGAGCCAAATAAACGGAAACCCTAAACCCTAATCCCTAAACCCTAAACCCTAATCCCTAAACCCTAAACCCTAAACCCTAAACCCTAGGTTGACGCTTTACGAAGAGTTGGGGCTTTCAGAGTGCCGCCAAGGGCACCTGGTCACTCCAAGGAAGTCCTAGGGTTTAGGGTTTAGGGTTTAGGGTAGATTGAGAAATGCGTTCAGGCACACTCCTCCCGTTGTGTACACCCTTGCAAATCTTACCAAACCGATGTAAACCCCCTCCAACTAAGTGTAAACAGCCCTTAAAAGAACCCTTAAAGGGACCCTTCTGGGTGTTTGGAGGCTTTGGGAATCCAGAGACTCCAATATTCCTTAATTAAGGAATATTCCTTAAATCATATTAGGGATCCTATTATAATTTAAGGAATATTCCTTACCTGGGTTGTAGTTTTGGGGCTCTGAAAAGTATTTATGAATCGGTACCTCTATAGGAACCATAAGGGAAATTAAAAAGTTTCCCAAATTGCCACCTAGTTAATTAAGGAATATTGGAGTCTTTGGGACCGGACTCGAAGTTTCTGCAGCACAGCATCCGGGCGCGCACATACCCGGCGACCATTTCTGGCTCAAGCCAGCCTTCCGAAGGAAAATGAGGCTTTAGGGTTAAGGGTTTAGGGGTTTAGGGTTTTGGGATTTAGGGGTTTAGGGGTTCAGGGGTTTAGGGTTTTTTGAGGTTCGGGGTTTAGGGCTTAGAGTTTAGGGGCCTTGATAGTCCACTAAACCCTGACCTCTTAAGGATCCCTCAAAGAGGCCTTCATAGAAACCCTTGGAGAAGCCCTCCAGGGAAACCGTAAAGGAACCCTCAACCCTAAACCCTTTAGAAAGCCCTTGAAGCAACGCCCGAAAGCCCCTGACACGATAGTAAGACCCAATATATTATAGAACCTTCATAACACCAGCACAAAGCTTTGCCCAACAAGAATGCATAAGGTTCCTTGTCAGAATTATAGTGCAACTAGAATCAGAAAGTACGAAAAATACACAGTTGCAAACAGAAACCTTCACGGTGAAACGAAACCCTAAACCCTAAACCCCTAAACCACTAAACCCTAAACCCCAATTTTTTTATATAAAAAAACTAAACCCTAAACCCCTAAACCCGAAAGTGAAAGAAGAAAATCAGGCGCCTGAGGTGAACATCATATCCCTGAAGGCTGCCCTCAAACAGCTGCCCATGGCAAAGAAGAGGAGCAGGTAGGCCTTGCTAGAATTGAGGGTCTAGAAAAAAGAGTTGAGGCTTTAAAGTGAAGGGTTTAGGGGTTTAGGGGCTAAGAAGAGGAGCAGGTAGGCCTTTTTGGCGGTCTTTAGCGGCTTTTGCAGTCGGCTTGAGGCTTCAGGGTTAGGGCCTATTTTGAGCTCCGGCTTCCTCCATCTTTCAAAGGCTCCTTGAAAGGTTCTTGGAAAGGCTTTTTTGCAGGGATCCTTTACGACTAAGGGTACCCGTAGCCCCATTGTTCAGATTGAATTCGGCAACCCCCTAAACCCCCAAACCACGAAACAACAAAACGCCAAACCCTAACCCTGACCCTAAAACCCTAGACAAAAGGATCCTAGAAAAGTACCCCTAAATAGTAGGATCCTTGTTACAAGGACCAGCCCGAATGCTGCAGATTCTCGGGCTTCCTGGATGCAAACGCACGTCGCTGAAGAAGCCAAGCGGCCCAAAGTATGTAGTACCTGGGGCCGAGGGTTCCTTAAAGGGTTCCTAGTAGGGATCTATAAGGCCTGCTACTAAGGGTTCTATATGGGTTTGGGGGGTACTTACAGGATGAGCTTGAAGCGTTCTTCTTTTGGGGAGAAGAGGCGTCAAGACTTGGGCTTTAGGCACTTTTCGGTGGTACCCCAGGTTTCTGGGTTCGCTTGCGGCTTGTTGGAAGCTGCCGGCTAGGTTGTGAGCTAGCTTTTCTCGGGTTTGGATCGTATGCAACTTAGAGGCATGAGCAATTAGAGTGGGGTTTCGGTGTACATTATGCTGGAACTAGGAAACCCTAAGGAATGCTAGTGGTAATTACCCAAGCCCTACGTTGGGTTTCAGTCTCGAGCACGAGTTGTGGGTCGAATTCCACGAGTTTAGAGTTTGGTCTTGAGACCACCAATCACTGGGTTTGTGTAAGGAACTTTTTTTCGTCACTATAACATGGAAACTGCATTCTTTGCCATAGACTCCTGTTACTGTAATCTAACTTGAGCTTCTTAAAAAGAAACCAAATCAGAAAGCCACTTAACAAGAACCCAGATCAAAAAGCATTAGGGGTTGGACGCCAATCCATCCCAAACTTACTGCTTTCCCTTACCCCTCCCGTCCCCTGGTCAGCCACGCATGGAACCCGACTCACAAAAGCTCGCATCACAGAGGGGGTGCTGACGTTCAAGACTTATTTTGTTTAAAGTTCAGGGCTCGACGCCAGTGATTTCGCATTACAGCCACCCTACAACCTCGACGAAACCCTGAGCATAAGCCCCACACTTTACCCTCAACCCTAAACCCTGCTGAGGCCTTGCCCAAAACACTACAGCCCAGAAGATACAACAAAGCCAACCGTAAATCTCAAAGAGCAAACCTTTTGAATCCTACACCCAACCCCTCTACCCTGAAGTCTCAACCACAAGCCAAGGCACAACCACCAAGGAAAATCTTGGCCACCGCGACGGGAGCGCTTGCAATACCTGAGTGGAGTCTCGCGCGCATCTAAGGCTTGTGATAGGGCACGTCTTCTCTCGCACATGGGATGGAAGAACACGGAAGCTTGAACCAGCCAGCAACATAGTCGCCTGGGTGCAGGCTACCATATGAATAGCTTTCTAAATTGGCGACCTTTTCTACGTGCCCAACACGGTACGGCAGCCTTATAAACAGAACTCCTGAAAGGGACCCTAGTTTAGAGAGCTCCCCACATCAGCTTGGTCCCACTGGTCCCACTTGGCACCAGGGATTAGCGTGGGCGGCTTACGGTTTAGGATTTCGGGTTTAACCCCGAATTGTCAAAATGATTGAACGAAGGTATACACCACGACAGGTTCCATGAGTAGTGTTTCGGGTTTAGGACTTTTAAGCTTTGGGGTTTGCACTTCCGGGCATTGAAGGCTTCACGGTTTGCGGGTTTCGGGTGTTGGGGTTTCGTCCACAGAGCTTTAGGTTTTCAGTCTTGGTGTTTTCAAGTTGCGGTTTGGGGAAAAGAGGCATCAGGGTCTGGGTTCAGGCTCAAGGGTAAAGGCCAGGGAGTAGCGCAGGGTATGCATCATCAGATTGTAAAGGCATCAGAAACCCTAGCCCCAACTTAACCTCACGCCCTGACCTGAACCCTAAAGCAAGTCAAACACTAAACTCTGACCTTAAACTAACAAGTCCCCCAACTCTGACTCTAACAGCCTTAACCCTAAACCCTATACCCTAAACCCTGTAGATCCCTTCAGACCCCTCAAAGGAACCCTATAGGCCCCTTAAAAAAAGCCTTACACCGACCTGGCGTACCGAAACCCGAAGAGATCCAAGCAGCACTCGGAGGATCGTCAAGCCGATCCTTGGAGCCCCGGGCCCTTGAACCCCCATATCCCATTAAGGGTTTAGGGTCTAAGGTTTAAATGTCTTCTTGCGCAGTGGCTGGTCATCCTTGCTAGGATGGCGCCACCTCACACCAGGTTTTGTGGGTGGCGGCCTATTACGGGTCAAGCGACCTTGGCACTCTATGGTTTCAGGGTTTAGGGCTTAGGGTTGTTGGCGCTTTAGGGGTTCAGGGTTTAGGAAGAAAGGGTTAGGGTGGTTGGGGCTTTAGGGTTTCAGAAGTTGGGGGGTTTAGCTTATTAGTACCGGGCTTTAGGAATTTGGGATTTGGTGCTCTGTCTTGCTCACGTGGTTTAGGGTCGCAGGTTCAGACTTGCGTGGGCTTTAGGGTTGGGGTGAGGATTTAGGGTTTCAGGGTGTTTGGGGGTTGAGGGGTGTGTGATTTTAGAGCCTTTGAAGGTTACGGGCTGCGTGAAATCGAGCGCTTCGGGGTCCGCGCCATGTAAGCTTACTTGGAGGATCATGGGACTTTAGTAAGAAAGGTCATAAGTACCTCAATTCGGGTTATAAGTATAGTTACCTCACCTATAACTACCCTAGTTACTAAGTCCCATGATTCTTTAAGTAGGTGTAGGGTGTGATAAGCTGTGAGGGTTCATCGTGTTGGGTCTAAGGCCTTGTTTTAGGTTTTAAGGCTGATGGTTCGGGGTCTACCCGGAAGCTTGTCAACAAAACATACTAACTTGTCGAAACCTGCAAGCAACCCCGACAGCTGCGCTCTAGACGCACTGCAAGACGAGATCTGGAAAACGAACGACCAAGACGGCAACGCAGTCTTGAGAGACAGATCCATCGTGCAGAAGCTGTGAAAGATGATCCGATTCAGAGGAAAGTTGGGGTTGAGTTTGGGCACTCCGATATGGCTTCAAACACCTTGCCATGCCTTGCAAAGCCGTAAACCCTCCTAAACTCTAAACCCTAAACCCTAAACCCTCCCAAACCCCTAAACCCTAAACCCACCCTTGAACCCGAAACCCTGAGACTAGGCTGGAAGCCTTGAAGCCCCAACTCGAAGCCCTGACGACCGCAACCAAGAGCCCTAATATAGCGGCCTTTATAGTAAGGAACCTCAGAGCATTATTGGTACGGTTGATGATAGAAATCTTGCATTACCTTAATGACCCCAAACTATGGGAAATATGGTATATTCCTTATTATGGGTCATGCAGGATTTATATCATCAACCGTAGTTATTTAGGCCCCTATATTAAACCCGAAATGCTTTATCAACCCCTGCAAAACCCCATGGTACAACCCTAAAAGAGCCCGAACGAGATTCCCTCCAGCTGCAATGTAGCCCGGCGAGGCAAAGCGAATCATTGCGAGGACCACTCGTATCTAAACGACACCGTGCAAGCGTTTCTCGGGGCGCTGGTCCCGTTTAGGGGGCTTGGGGTTAGGCACAAAGCCCACAACCCGAAACGCCAAGTCGTTAGCTCCAAAACCCCAACCCTAGCACTCCATGTGGGAGTTTCCGAAAACTCGGGGTACCTCATTTGGGTCCTTGTAACAAGGATCCTACTATCTGGGGTACTTTACTAACACTATCAGGGCCATGTCTTCAAAAACGTGCTACGACCACCGTTGTGCTTCCAGTTTTGGCTTTAGGGGCCCAAATCCTCACGTTTATGGCTTGGGTCCTCCATGAAAAAAAAAAAAAGGGTTCAATCAACTCCATATTAGGGCTCATAAGAAGAACCTGCAAAACAGTGGGTTTTGGCAGGTTAAGGTAGGTCTATGAGTCTTGGGAAGATATGACCGCCGGGTCCTCACTAACTGGGAGCCGAGAGTGTAGGAGGCGCACCGATAGGCGAGTCAAGGCATATTACTAAAGAATCTTGGTTTAGGGTTTAAGGTTTGAGGTGAGTCAACGCATATTACTAAAGTTTCTTGGTTTAGGATTTAGGGTTTAAGGTGAGTCAAGGCATACCAATAGGGTTTCGGGTTTACGGTACAGGCTTCGCTGTTGAGAGTTCAGGGCCTTAGGATGCAAGGCCTATAGATCTCATTGTTTAATTGACTCTAAGCATGCCTCTGTACAGCTCGAGACTCCAAATCCTAAATCCTGTTAAACCTCAATTACACCAGCGTAGACCCCAAACAGAATGCATCGAATCATGCAGGTGAAGTTGGAACGTGTTGGAACCCAATCTGGCTCAGATCCAAATGTCGCACATGGGGCGTGGGGTATTGGACATCTCTAAGGGCTCTTGTATTTAGGGCTCTTATATTTAGGGTTTAGGGTTTTTTATATAGGTTAGGATTTAGGAGAGTCTAGGAGTATTAGGTACTTGGACCCTTGGGGAAACCCTCAACCCCAATCCTGATATCAGGCGGATGATGCGTTTGCCCTCGACGCTGAGATACCATGTCCGGACTTGAACTGAACCCTAACCCTTAGATCCTTAACTTCTGACTTCTAGCACCTAACCTGCAACCTCAGGCTCATCATGTCCTCTTCATTGTCTTACATACACTGCAAGTTCACAAGACCCCGACTTGAAACCCTTATCCAAAGCCTTCTGAAAGCCACACGGAACCTCGCAAAGCCCTGTTCACAGCAGCTCTTGAAATGCAAGAAACGAGGGCTATCCCCTGGGTTCCTGGCCGAAGGCGGTTGGGCACGAGTCTCGCAGGGCTCACCTGACTTGGATTCCAAACGGTCGGCACAAGCACAAGAACGACTCACCCAACTCAAAAGCGTGCCCTGGATGACTCGCGACAGAAAGGGTACTGACTCGTCACACCAACTGACGAGTTCCTGGGGCAGACAGGAAGAGTCACGCAAGAGCGTACTTAAAGGATCATGGGACTTAGTAACTAGGGTTATAAGTAAGGTAGCTATACTTACAACCCCAATTAAGGTACTTATAACCTTACTTACTAAGTCCCATGATCGTCCAAGTAGCCCTTAGATCCTCGAAGCTCTTCAAGCCCAAAGGACGCTTGGCTTCGCGGGGACACTCTGCAGCCTCTGACCAACTTCTGTGATCAGCGTGCAGTGGAATGGCTAAAGCGGGCTCTAGAGTCAGGGAGAGTGGTTGGCCCCCGCTTTGGCTGTGAAACAACGACGCACTGTTTGATGCAACTAATTATTCTGCATACGCACTGCTGCCCATGCTCACACAAGGATGTCCAGTCGTCGACCTCCCATGTTGCTCAGCTGCACCACGGTCCAGTTCTGCGGCTTCCTTAGGTCCAGATAGTTCAGCTCGATTGCACGCGCTGCATTGCGGAAGGTGGCCAGCTTGCCTGAGTGTGGAGCAGCACTGACGGAGAACTCCTCGCCCTTCCTTGCCGAGGACATCCCCAACTCTGCTGCCAGCTTCACCTGGTACACAGCCGGATCTATCAGCGCGACGCCGTCGCCGAAGATTTTCCGCACCAGTGGCTCCAGGATGGGGAAATGGGTGCAGCCGAAGATCAGGAAATTAATCGCGGGCATGCCGTCCACGAAGTACGAGGCAAACTTACGCCGGAGCATCGCCTCCGTGTCCTCCTCCCAAGTGGCCTCCTTGTCGAAGGGGGCCTCGCGCTGAACAGCCTTCACGCATTCCTAGGTCATGGTCGGGATCGGATTAAAAATTTAAATTTCTATTCCTTGTTGGGTTTAAGTACCTATGAGAATGTAAAATGCTACCCAACTATGACCAAGAATTCCGCGCAACCGATACAGTTCGTGGTGGTGACTTGCAGAGGAAAGGCCTCCGTGTCCACCTGGGAGTTTCCGAAGATTGGGGGGTACCTTACTTGGAGGGTCGGGGGACTTAGTAACTGGCTATTTTAGGGACTTATAAGTACCATAACCCCACTTAGGGCCCCTTTTAGGGTACTTATAAGTCTACTTACTACCTACTTACAAAGTCCCCCGACCCTCCAAGTATTTGGGGTCCTTACAGTAAGGATCCTACTATTTAGGGTACTATCTTCGGGTCCCCTTTTTTCCGGAAACTCCCACCTGGTTCGGCGCGATGGAGAAGCCCTCCGCGCTTAGGATCTTATTCTGGTAAGCTTGAGAGCTGCAAGTTGCGTCCGTGGCAAAAATGCCGACTTTCCGACAACTGCCCAGGTGTCCTAGGGCCTCGAAGAAGGATCCATACGGCGGAGCAATCGGCAGGATGGGCAGCTCGGCAAACTCCTCTTCGTCGGCGACATTGTAAGCGATGGTCGCGATGGAAGCCGTATTGCACGCAATCAAGGCGATCTGAGCCCCGGCGCCCTTCAGAAACCGAAGCACTTCCCGAGAAGCGTCTGCGACGTCTGCGGGCGGTTGCGGTCCGTATGGGGCACGTCCATCATCTGCGACGAAGGAGACTTCCGTGGAAAAGTTCTGTCTCAGGCGTTTGTACACCGTCATCCCACCGAGGCCGCTGTCGAACATGCCCACTTTGGTCACGGGGGCCTTCTTTAAGAATGACATAAAAGCACAAGACTACTTTAAGGACTACGACCATAAACAAAAACTACTAAATGATACTATATGGTCCCGGGGGCGGCCTGCTTTAAGGTCTTCTGAAACTGGCGCTGCAGCAGGGGTGCCAAACTGTCGCCAGAAGGATCCTCGTGCAAGAGCCTGTCGATGACCACATTCCAGCTTTGGTCGATGGCCTCTTGGGAGGATCATGGGACTTAGTCAGTAAGGTCATAAGTACCTTAACTGGGGTTATAAGTAGAGTTACCTTACTTATAACCCTAGTTACCAAGTCCCATGATCCTTTTCAGTCCTCTGGACCCAAACTGAAGCTGCACTTGGCGTGTCCACTCAAGGCTGTTCTCTTGGAGGCTGTGAGATTCTCCTTGAACCGGTCTCCCAAGTCCAAGGATGCCCACAAAGCCATGCTAGCCTCATGCTGCGACTCCCCTGGGATCCTCAGAGATCCCAAACCTTCCCCTATGAACGCGCAGCCGGCCACGAAGCCGAGGATTCGAAGTCGGCCTGCACTCCCCATGGACTTCCTGCTTGGAGGGTCGGGAGACTTAGTAAGTAGGTAGTAAGTAGACTTATAAATACCCTAAAAGGGGCCCTAATTGGGGTCATGGTACGTATAAGTCACTAAAATAACCAGTTACTAAATCCCCCGACCCTCCAAGTGGGGACTAAGAGCTCGACTGTAAAGCTGCGGAGCTAGAGAACACGAGGCGTCGCGGACAGTTACGATCCTGGTACCCTAAAATCCTAACGCCCAAACGCAGATCCCTAGATCCCTAGGCCCTTAACCCCCTACAACTCCCATCCAGCCTAAACCCCAAGTTTGAGTTTCTAAATCCGGATCCCCGTTACCTTCAACTGCATGTGGACCTGCACTCTGCACTGCCAAGACGATGGGTTCAAGCTCACACCGGCTTGGGTTTAGGGCTTCGGGCTGTTTAGCTCCGATCGTGGCATGCGGCCCCAGAGATCCACCGACCGAGTCAAACAAACCTTCGAAGTGCGCCAGTGTCGAAGCTTAAGGATAGATCATGGGACTTAGTAACTAGGGTTATAAGTAAGGTAACTATACTTGTAACCCTACTTAAGGTACTGATAACCTTACTTACTAAGTGCCATGATCCTCCAAGTACAGTCTAAGGGATCGGAGCTGAACAGATTTGGAGTTCTGGGTTTAGGGACGGAGATCTGGAGTTTTTGCATGGCTCCATTCTCTGAACACCGACCCTAAACCCTAAACCCTTAACCCTTGACGTAGACCCCATAAGCCCCAAACCCCAAACTAAACCCCAAACTCTGAAGCCCTAGACCCTAAACCCTAAACCCTAAATCCCAAACCCCGAACCCTAAACTGGGTCTCCGACCGTTTAGCCCGCCGGGGGCCCCGAGGACAGTTGGACTCGCGCTTGGCTTTAGGGGCTTTCAAGTCCGGGTTTAGGGTTTAGGGAAGGATTTAAACTTTCGAAAATCCGCTTCGGGGTATAACATACTAACTATACTATACTATAATACACCAGAACACACGATTTAGTGCTTTCGGCTTTTCTTGCGCTCTTTGGGGGCCATATGGCTCTAGAGGTCGGAAATTGAGGCCCTGAGGTCATGTGCATTTGTATGTCAAGCTTCAGGGTTCTCGGGTTAGGGTTGCAAGGTTGGTGGTTCAGGTTAGGGTTAGGGTTTAGGGCTTAGGATATAGGGTACGAAGGGATTTCTGTTCAGGGCTTGCTTTGCAGTAGATTCCGATCTTGTTGGATTCTGCTTCGGCGGCCCCTGTCCTTAAGTTCTGGACTGGGGGCTTCGGGTGCTGGGGCTTGAGGTAAACACCTGCACTTTGAGCTGAAAAGGCATGCGGCACACTGCAGCACGTGCATACTGTCCTTGCTGGCCTGTCGCAATGCAGGATCAAAATCTCCCAATGCCACCAGAATCATGCGCTTGCCACCGGAAGCCATGCTGCGCAGCAGAAGCCCTCCAACTTCCATCCTCTGCAATAAACACTCCCTTTCACTTGCAATCCTTCTTGAAACCAAGCAAATCAACATGCCCAGTGCCACATCGAATCCCTGCAAAACCTTACTGCATCCACCGGCAAAAACATTCAAATACCCCCGGTTGCAGTGAACTTTGAATGCCGCTTTGAGATTCTTTCTGCAGTCATTCCCAAGCCTTTGGTACAACAAATCATTAACATGGATGCTCTGCACAGCTGTCCTTCCCTGCTTCCAGGAAGAGCTAGTGCCTGCTTGCTGGTCACTAGTAGAGGCAGTACACGTGCCGCTCACAAAAAAAACAGCATGCGTTAAGCATGGTTTTCAATGTGCTGCATCACCTTTGCGACCTGCCGCTGCAAGTTCTCCAGCTCAGAGCGAGCAATGGCCAGATCGATCTTGTGGAGGTCACCCCGAAATCGCATCAGACCAGAGACGATCTCTGACATAGAGACAGATCCGTCCTCCTCAGTCACGAAGGCGGCCAAAATGCCCTCACGGGGCTCTACATTTATGTCCATGTCGCAAAGCAATTGCTGGACTTCGGTCTTCCGAATCAGGCGTAGGAATTCTTCCTCTGTCACGAAAAGCTCCTCTGCCAGTGCCTAGTTCATGGTTTGGATAGTATTACAAATCAAACTGTCTGCTCTTTGTTGAATTTAAGTACCAATAAAAACTGTAAAATGTTACCCAGCTTATGACAAGGGTACCTTCTCCGCAGATGTTGCAGCGGACATTCTTAATGATTTAATCCGACCCATGAGCGGGCTCATGGCTTCATGTCCTTGATTGGTCCTCCTCTTCCTCGCGTTCATCACCTCCTGCGTTGCCAGCTCCACGAAGCCTGAGTTCTTTCTTAAAGGATGTAAGTTAAGTTACCATAATTGGGTTTTGGTTTAGGAGTTTAGGCTTTACCGTTGAGGGGTTTAGTTTAAGTTACCATGATAAACAAGCAACCCTAATACTTACTTTCAATCCCGAATATGGTAACTTTCATTTGGCCCCTTAACAAGAACCCAGAAGCGGGCTAGCTGCTGCGTCATCCATCCAGACTGATGGGCCCTTGCAAACTTTTGCCGACGATCGCTGGCCTTCAAACCCTTCAAGGTAGCTTCCACAAAGATGGCGGTAATGATATTGAAAAAAATCCTAAGGTGACTACCACCATGGCAAAGGCATATACGAGATCAAAGCCCATTCCGAATCCATCGCTGAAGACCATCACGAGGCTTTCGCCTCCGTGAGTGGTGCAGTCGCCGTTTAAGCAGCGGAACACGGAGAACATGCACCCGAGAACATCAGGACACTATAGGTGGCCTTGCTCCAAGTGGAAGGGACACTCTTCCGATCCCACGCCGTCGTCACCACAGGAGCGAGCCGCTCTAAAGGCTTCGAGCGTTGCACGGAGCAGTACTGCCAAGAAGTACACCACCATGAAGAGGGTGAGCCAGACCCAGAAGAGCGGCCGCAGGTTGATGAAGAAGCCTTCGTACTCATGTGGGTGTTGGTCCCTATTATTATACGGCAACTAGTATTTAGGGTACCCTAATTGGGACCCTTATTTTGACAACTACCCACATGCATGTCAACTCGTTAAGAGCCTTTCACTGGGAGGCCTACCCCCGGCACTCATTGACTAGCAGACCTATCCATTGACCACTTCTTTCAGAAGAACCCCGTAGACCCACGGTCTTGAGGTTGCAGGAGCCCTGCACCCCGAAAGCAGCCTAAAGCAAGAAATGTTGGCCTGGCCTGTGACAATGGTGGCCACTTTTTGCAGTAATGGCATTCGCATGAGCTTGGCCACGCGAGCCAGCCTGCAATGTCATCCGTCTTTCATGCGATGCCCACCCACTCCCGACTGTAAAGGCGCTTCGAAGGACTACATGGAAGTGCATGCAAGGAACCATCCGTGCCTCAGGAGTTTTGCTTCTTAACTATGCGAGTGTACGAGGTGATTGATCAATCTTTTGCTCCTTTGGCTGGTCGCTGTTTGCACGTCGCAATCACCCCAAGCTGTTAACTGGCTACAATGAACAAACCGTTGCCCTCATCATCCTCGTCCTCTTATGAATCCGGCTGAAACTTTCGTCGGGCGCCCCTCTAAGAAAGAGGAGGCAGGGCGCAGGGAGGGCAGAGAGTGGCCATGGGGCTTGGGAGAGGAGTTCCGATGCGCAGCTGAATGATCGCAGGCGAATCGTAGGATCTAGGGTTTAGGGTCTAGGATTTAGGGTTTAGGGTTTAGGATGTAGGGTTTAGGGCTGGGGCTTTCGGTTTTATGATTCGACTATGATTCGGGCATGGGCAAGCGATGCCTTGCGATGCGAAGTCCTCGAAGCATCATAGCAACCCGACTCTGGGAGCCTGGCAGCTTATGAATTTCGTGGGTTCTGAGTGCTCCAATGTAGGGTTTAGGGTTTTTGGTCCAATGCGTCAAGGTCTACCATGTTGTGAATATTGGGTTCGAGTAAGGGACTGCCTAATCAACATGCACTACGGTGGCCCCAAATACTACTCTCACTGAAGCGACCTTCGTGGAAGCCAGCCAAATTCCGGGCCCGAAGCAACTTGCTTCTACAAGGAAGAACGCCTTGTCTGTCAACAACAGATCCCCGGGCCTCCATTGCCTGCAGCAAAGCTGAGCACGGTTTCCAGAACTGCTGCGCCAGTCAGTACCACATCAAAAACATTCCACGCTCCCGCAGGCCCGCAAAAGTATTGTCGTGGTTTCAGAACATAAAGCTTGGCAATGACCTCCATCAGAAACACTGCAGAACACAGTGTGTCCAAGACAACTATCCATCCCGGTTCACCAACACCAGTATCCATGCCTGATGCTGCAACGCTGGCGATGATGGCCGCGGTCGACAGGGCCGTCATTGTGTCAATGAGCAGCCTCTGCATGCTGGGTCGCTCCCTTTGCTCCTTCCGTTTTTGATTTGCCAAGAGCAGCGCACGAGATATGCCTGTTGACGGCATATCGCTCCCAAGCATTGCACGCTGAATGATGAAAAGGGTCAACTGAACCTCCTCATCCCGTGCATACATGTGGACGTCTTCCAGAAACATGCACTTCAAAAACTGGTGGAAAGCAATCACATGTGTTGGTGTCTTTGTTTTTGTTAAGCCTCTCTTGTTGACCTTGAGAACATACATCTGAAAAATGTGCCTGAGCTCCAGAATGGCATCCTCAACTTCCTTTTCTTCCAGGGAGTACGAGAAGCCCGAAGCTTCGGACTTACCACATTTCTTCACAGCTTCAATAAGGTCGCGAGCCATGATGACTTGTGACTGATGCTGCTCAGCAAGCACCGTCTCCAAGCGAGACCGGATATTCCGCCTGGCCTGCTTGTTACGGATCGGGCTGTCTGTCCTTAGACATCCATTCCCTTAAAAATATGCTGGGCCGAAATCTAACTAATTTCGCCCGTTTGCTGCAAGCAGCCCCTTTTATCACAAAACTTTCTGAACACGGCCTGAGTTCGTTGGCTTTATAGCCACAACTTCAACGTCGAGGATTCCTCCACCACTTAGCCCCACTTGTTGTCGCCGCTCACCAACTCTGACGAAGCCCTCTGCCACTGGCCGATTCCAACCGCTGCACCAGACCTCCAACGCGAAACGCGTTGGACAGGGCTCGGGCACATGCATGAAGCAATCCATACCGACGTCGGTGCCAGCAGTCCAGTCAGCTATGACGAGTTCCCCTGAGGGAACTTCTCCCGGCAGAGTGGGTTCCAAGGTCGGCTGCAAGGTGGGCAGCTGGAATGCGATTTCACGCGTTGTTGCTTGATCCTGCTTGCCGCCTCTGAACATGATTTGGCAGTGTTGCTTGGCCAAATCAATGCCCTGGTCTAAGCAAGTCTTGGGCAAGGACATCGTGTAAACTGAAAACTTCACGGGGACCGTCTGCATGTCAAGAGGCATATCATGAAAGACACTTTGCAACTGCGATGCTCTTTCTGGAATCTCCAGAGCCTCGTTCGTGGTTTCGCTGGCAACGAAGCTCTGAACATCTAAATCCTCTTTCAGGGGCAATGGGAGCTCCACAGGAGTGATGAGCTTGGTTTTTTCGCTGGATGCCAAAGCTTGAACTTCTTGCTGATGTTGCTCCAGCAATTTGGTCAATAATTTCTGAGTGCCAGCTACAATGTCTTGGACATTGCCTTGGCCATCGTGCGGAACGATGTTCGGTCCTTCCAACGCCATGTCCTCTACTAGCAAGAACGGATAATCCTCCGCCCTGGCTTGAGCACATCAGCCGGCACACAAGAACAGTTACACTGCCCGCAAAATTGACACTCCACGCAAGTCACAGGCCCCTACTGCAAACATCAAGTTGGGCCAGCAAGCAACATCGCAGGGCCACTATCCTGGCGCCCTCGGCCAAATCTTCGTTCTTCCTGACCCGAAGAGCTTGGACTTAAAACAAGGTGGTCAACCAAGGACGGCACAAGGAGCTTGCAACACAAACACGTGACGTGCTGAGCTGCATGAGGCTGTGTTGTTTGCAGCTGTTTCGCGACGCAACGTCTGCATGTGCTCAAAGCGCGAGGAGCCTTGGCGCTCTGGTTCAACTCCGAAGCTTGCAATTCGATTATCTCCGTCCAAGAAGGCTTCGTGTCAGCCATGAACATTTAGGGGTTCTGGGCTTGCTTTGGGGGAGTGCTGTGAATGATTGATGATTTTTAAAAACTCGGACATGGTCAAACCTTTTTCTTGCATCGGGCACACATTTCTTGAATTGTGGTGGCCGCTCATGCGAGCACTCCTGCAGGGAAGTGTGATATTTGCGTGGTCACCCTGTCGAAGGAAGGAAGGTGCATCAGTCATGAATGTCGCTGACTGTCACGCCCAAGCTGACCACTCAATGAGAAAAGGGCAGTGGAATAGCAAGAAAAATACAAGGTTCACTTGCTCCTGACCCCATTGACCTGAAAGCCCATCAAGTTGCGAGAGATCGCTCTCATGCCGTGTTCAGACAGGAGCATGCAAGAGGGATGGCATAATCAAACTTTAAATATTGAGGGTTAAGATGACGCACCCACATTCCCCATGCAGAAGGTCAACGACTTGCGAAGTGCCACCAACTCTCATGCATTCAATGACTGTGTTGTACTCTGTGTCGGCTTCGGTCGATGTAGGAACACGCACCCGAGCATGTATGAATTGCAGCTGTCCGAATGATTGGTGCACCGTAGAGTCGCTGTTCAAGCATGCTTCACAAGCATGGCTGAAGAACGAAAGCTAGCGCTTTTGACTTAAACTTGCACGTCAGTTGTGCGATGTGCGCCAGACATGTGAGCCATTCATGCTTAAGATAAAGACCGCACTCACTGCCGGGAACGGACAAGCAACCTCAGAGGAACATGACAGGCCTCGATTCTCACCGAAGAGCCGCGCTTTGGGCTTGGGCTTTCCAGGCAAGCTGCCTGGGCGCCATGCCCGAGCATAGCACCCAGAGCAACAGATCATTAATATGGACGCTCTGCACAGCTGTCCTTCCCTGTTCCAGGGAGACCTAGTGCCTGCTTGCTGGTCACCAGTAGAGGCAGTACACGTGCCGATCATGCTTTAAGCATGGTTTTCAATGTGTTGCATCACCTTTGCGACCTGCCGCTGCAAGTTCTCCAGCTCAGAGCGAGCAATGGCCATATCGATCTTGTGGAGGTCACCCCGAAATCGCATCAGACCAGAGACGATCTCTGACATGGAGACAGATCCGTCCTCCTCAGTCACGAAGGCGGCCAAGATGCCCTCACGGGGCTCTACATTTATGTCCATGTCGCAAAGCAATTGCTGGACTTCGGTCTTCCGAATCAGGCGTAGGAATTCTTCCTCTGTCACGAAAAGCTCCTCTGCCAGTACCTTCTCGGTGGATGTTGTAGCCGACATGGTCAAACCCAATGAACTAATCCGACCCATGAGCGGGCTCATGACTTCATGTCCTTGATTGGTCCTCCTCATCCTCCCGTTCATCACCTCTAGGGACCCCGAAAAGCACATAAGCATCAGCATTTTTGCGGGACATCCCTACCTTATTGGGCTTCATTATACAAGGGTTCATATGGGATATACAAGGGTTCATATGGGATATTCCTATCCCAATTTTCGCTTCTGAGCCATGTTGGGACCCTAACCTCCTGCGTCGCCAGCTCCACGAAGCGGGCGAGCTGCTGCCTATACTGAACTTAGACCCAAGCAAAATTACATAAATCATATTACAAGTGTAGCTGTTTTCTTATGGTAGCCAAACATGAAAAAAACATTTCTAAGTACCTAGTTGCGTCATCCATCCAGACTGATGGGCCCTCGCAAACTTTTGCTGACGATCGCTGGCCTTCAAACCCTTCAATGTGGCTTCCACAAAGATGGCGGTGATAATATTGAAAAGACCAAAGGTGACTACCACCATCGCAAAGGCATAGATGAGATCAAAGCCCATGCCGAATCCATCGCTGAAGACCATCACGAGGCTTTCGCCTCCGTGGGTGGTGCAGTCGCCGATGATGCAGCGGAACACGGAGAACATGCACCCGAGAACATCAGTACAGTATAGGTGGCCTTGCTCCAAGTGGAAGGGACACTCTTCCGATCCCACACCGTCGTCACCACAGGAGCGAGCCACTCGAAAGCCTTCGAGCGTTGCACGGAGCAACACAGCGATGAAGTACACCACCAGGAAGAGGGTGAGCAAGACCCAGAAGAGCGGCCGCAGGCTGATGAAGAAGCCTTCGTACATGCATGTCAACTCGTTAACAGCCTTTCGCCGGGCGGCCTACACACAGCACTGATTGACTAGCAGTTTTATGAACTGACCACTTCTTTCAGAACCCCGACCGCGAAAGCAGCCTAAAGCAAGAAATGTTGGCCTGGCCTGAGACAATGGTGGCCAGCTCCTGCAGTAATGGCATTCGCATGAGCTTGGCCACGCGAGCCAGCCTGCAATGTCATTCGTCTTTCATGCGATGCCCGCCCAACTCCAGACTGTAAAGGTGCTACAACGGACTACATGAAAGCGCATGCCAGGAACCATCTTTCCCTGGTCGCTGTTTGCACGTTACCAAAAAAACTTTTGCAATCACTCCAAGCTTTTAAGTGGCTACAATGAACAAACCGTCGCCCTCATCATCCTCGTCCTCCTATGAATCCGGCTGAAACTTTCATCGGGCACCCTTCTAAGAAGGAGGAAGCAGGGCAGAGGCAGGGCGGAGGCAGGCGGAGAGTGGCAATGGGGCTTGGGAGAGTAGTTCCGGTGCGCGGCTCAATGATCGTAGGCGAATCGTAGGATCTAGGGTTTAGGTTCTAGGATTTAGGGTTTAGGGTTTAGGATGTAGGGTCTAGGTTTAAGGCTTTCGGTTTTATGATTCGGGCATGGGCAAGCGGTGCCTTGCGATGCGAAGTCCTCGAAGCATCATGGCAACCCGACTCTGCCCGCCTGGCAGCTTAGAGAGCTATAAGTACCATAACCCCAATTAGGATCCCAACTTAGGGCGCCTATAACTCTACATATGACCTACTTACCAGCTTATGAATTTCGTGGGTTCTGAATGGTCCAATGTCGGGTTTCGGGTTTGGGGTCCAACGCGTCAAGGTCTAACATGTTGGTAATACTGAGTTCCAGTAAGGGACTGCCTAATCAACATGCACTACGCTGGTCCATGTTGGCCCCAAAAACTACTCTCACTGAAGCAACCTTCGTGGATGCCAGCAAAATTCCGGGCCCGAAGCAACTTGCTTCTCCAAGGAAGAACGCCTTGTCAACAACAGATCCCCGGGCCTCCATTGCCTGCAGCAAAGCTGAGCACGGTTTCCAGAACTGCTGCGCCAGTCAGTACCACATCAAAAACATTCCATGCTCCCGCAGGCCCGCAAAAGTATTGTCGTGGTTTCAGAACATAAAGCTTGACAATGACCTCCATCAGAAACACTGCAGAACACAGTGTGTCCAAAACAACCCATCCTGGTTCACCAACAGCAACATCCATAGAGATGCCTGATGCTGCAACGCTGGCGATGATGGCCCCGGTCGACAGAACCGTCATTGTGTCAGTGAGCAGCTTCTGCATGCTGGGTCGGTCCCTTTGCTCCTTCCGTTTCTGATTTGCCAAGAGCAACGCACGAGATGTGCCTGCTGACGGCATATCGGCCCCAAGCATAGCACGTTGAATGATGAAAAGGGTCAACTGAACCTCCTCATCCCGTGCATACATGTGGACGTCTTCCAGAAACATGCACTTCAAAAACTGGTGAAAGGCAATCACATGCGTTGGTGTCTTCGATTTTGTTAAGCCTCTCTTGTTGACCTTGAGAACATACATCTGAAAAATGTGCCTGAGCTCCAGAATGGCATCCTCAACTTCCTTTTCTTCCAGGGAGTACGAGAAGCCCGAAGCTTCGGACTTACCACATTTCTTCACAGCTGCAATAAGGTCGCGAGCCATGATGACTTGTGCCTGATGCTGCTCAGCAAGCACCGTCTCCAAGCGAGACCGGATATTCTGCCTGACCTGCTTGTCACGGATCGGGCTCTCCATCCTTAGACATCCATTCCCTCAAAAACATGCTGGGCCAAATCTAACTTCGTCCGTTTGCTGCAAGCAATCGACTTTTATTTCTAAACTTTCTGAACACGGCCTGAGTTCGCTGTCTTTATAGCCATAACTTCAACGTCGAGGATTCCTCCACCCGTTAGCCCCACTTGTTGTCGCTGCTCACCAACTCTGACGAAGCCCTCTGCCACGGGCCAATTCGAACCACTGCACCAGACCTCCAACGCGAAACACGCTGGACAGGGCTCCGGCACATGCATGAAGCAATCCATGCCGACGTCGGTGCCAGCAGTCCAGTCAGCCATGACGAATTCTGCTGAGGGCACTTCTCCCGGCAGAGTGGGTTCCAAGGTCGGGTTCAATGTCCGCGGCTGGAATGCGATTTCACGCGTTGTTGCTTGATCCTGCTTGCCACCTCTGAACATGATTTGGCAGTGTTGCTTGGCCAAATCAATGCCCCGGTCTAAGCAAGTGTTGGGCAAGGACAGCGTGTAAACTGAAAACTTCACAGGGACAAGAAGCTGATCGTGAAAAGCACTTGGCACCTCCGATGCTCTCTCGTCTGGCACGTCTGGAATCTCCGCAGCCTCGTTCGTGGTTTCACTGGCAACGAAGCTCTGAACATCTAAATCCTCTTTGAAGGGCAATGGGAGCTCCACAGGAGTGATGAGCTTGGCATTTCTGCTGGATGCCAAAGCTTGAACTTCTTGCTGATGTTGCTCCAGCAACTTGTTCAATAGCTGTTGAATGCCAGCTACAATGTCTTGGACATTGCCTTGGCCGTCGTGCGGAACGATGTTCGGCGGGGTGATACTTGCGCGAGCTCCGTCACTCGCCATGTCCTCTACTAGCAAGAACGGACAATCCTCCGTTCTGGCTTGAGCAATTCAACAGACCCGAAAAGTTTGGACTGAAATCAGGGCGGACAACCAAGGACGGTACAAGGAGCTTGCAACGCAAACACGTGACGAACTGTGCTGCATGAGGCTGTGTTGTTTGCAGCTGCTTCGTGAAGCAAGGTCTGCATGCGCTCAAATCCGGAGGAGCCCTTGGTGCTCCGGCTCAACGCTAAGATCGTGCTTCGTTCTTCTTCGTCCAAAAAAACTTGGTAACAGCCATGAACAATGTGGGGTCCTGGGCTCGCTTTCAAAGAGTGCTGTGCCTGATTGTTTGTTCAATGGCCCGGACGGTTTTGCACCTCGGCCCTCGTCATCGAAACACAACAGCTATAATAGGTCTTCGCAAGCCATCGCTGATGCTGCCACAAACAGCATGTGATCCTAGATGAAGGAAATAATGGGGTCTGTCCACGAAAAAACGGATGGTCAGGAATGTTCAAAGGGTGGCTTAATTTCGTGGGAGATAAATTCAATGTGTTCGGAATCCATAAGTTTAGCCGAATGTGGGAGGCAAATAGGCAAAAGCTGGTGTTCAATGAGGTTGCTTATCTGCATCAAACAAATGCTGGGTTCCATTCGTTGGTTTAGCTACATGGGAGGCAAAAATGGATTTCCACAAAGTCAACCTTGCAAAATCAGAGGCAATACCGAGGAGTGGCCTAGCTACATAAACGGCAAAGCTTGAAAAACTAATATTCTTTGCTTTTAGGTCCGAAGATTTTGGGATGGGGTTAAGATCTAATAATATATCATTAATTTATCATACATTTTCTGCGATTTTGGAGTATTATACATAAATGCTGAACGAAAATTTGCCAAATTGTTTTAGATACTACACTATTAAGTTTTGAACCTCTCATTTTATATGTTCACATTTGAATTTTGCGGGGTCGGAAGCTTTTTCCGAAGTAAAGGTTGGATTGACAAGGCTAATCTAATTTGACAGACCATGAAAATACAGAATATGTATTTAAAGAGCTTGCGGTTGAAAAAAATACACGATGCAAAGACCTCAGCTCCATAAAACGAACAATAATCTCGAGTATGGGAAAGTCTATCCCTCGGCCTTGTTCGTCCGCTCGTTCGAAGTGTCCCGTGTGCCGCCGGTGCGCTCGAGCTGCGAAGCAGCTGGAAAAGGGTCGGCCAAAGCGCGCCCAACATTTAATGTTGAGCTCAAGTAAAAGCACACCAGAGTCTCGCCAGTGACTTCTGCACCGGGCGGGAGGGTGGGCCAAAAGCTAGAGCAGCTCATTCACTACTCACTGCGGCTAAGGGTAATACGAAGCATCCCTCGGCCTTGTTCGTCCGCTCGTTCGAAGTGTCCCGTGTGCCGCCGGTGCGCTCGAGCTGCGAAGCAGCTGGAAAAGGGTCGGCCAAAGCGCGCCCAACATTTAATGTTGAGCTCAAGTAAAAGCACACCAGAGTCTCGCCAGTGACTTCTACCTCTCCCTTACTGCGCAGCACCAGAAAGCGAGCTGAGCACCGCGTCACACGCGGAATCAAAGGTAGAAATGCGAAAGCGAGCTTGGGCCCCCAGTTCCGACAGGAGCAACTGGGCTGCAACCTCCTGCAGATAATATTCCAGAGTACGAGCACGAGCCCAGCGGCCGCGCCAAGCCAGCAATTGCAAGTTTTCGGTTTCTTGATAAAAGAACGTGGCTCCGGAGCCCCGAAGCACTCCCGGGGTAGCGCCTTTAACTGCTGCCCGGCACGGGATGCCGAGAAACTGAAGAGCTGCATCCCAGAGCCGACGAAACGAATGCAAAGAACCAGCGAAGAGGCGGTCGCCAGGACCTTCATAGCGAACGGGTCGTCAATCTTTCCGTGCTGACGACGAGCAAATCTGGCTGTCTTGGGTTTCCGCAAGTGGACGTACAAAGCACGCGTGTGCCCGAGTGTATCCGAAGGAAAAACCAGGTCTTTGCGAATCAGCTGCACCATCTCTGTCGGGTGGAGCATCGCAAGGAAGCCCACAAGCACTAGACCAGAAAACCGAAGCCAATCCCACAAAGCGGTGACACAGAGTAGAGCTCGGACGGCCGCTGCTGGAAGCACGGGGCGACATTCTCCGGGCTCAATGTCCTGCCATTTCTTATCGATCTGCCAAGCCACACTAAAGCGGTTGCGATAGGAAGGGCAACGATTCTGTATGGCAGTGATGGCGTAGACAAGCAAATAGCGAGGATGACCTTCGGCATAAAGATGTAACCCAAAGCCTCGGAGAGCAAGCTCGGCCCCCTCGTTAGTGCTCAAGGCGTCCTCCAGACTCACCTGAGCAACTTCTAGCAGCCAGAGAGCCAGCGCCTCAAGGGCCTTCCGCATCTTGTGCACCGTACTTGGAGCGAAGCCTCGCTCGAGGTCCAGAGGACCCCTCGGCGTCTTGGCCGCTGCTCGCGGTCCGGGGTTGCGCTCGATGTCCCCCCCCAACAGCAGAAGGAATCTCAGCCAGCGCGCAGGAATCTTTTTGAGACAAGCAGCTTCGACCACTAAGTCGAAAGACCGCCAGTCCCCGGCGAGGAGCTGCTGGAGCCACTGCGGAACCTGGCGGGTCGGAGCAAGCACAGCACGATCTCTAGAGGGTTCGTCTGCCCGGTTGTCAGCGGACCGGCAGTGAATCAAACCCGGGTAGATCCCAGACCCAAGGATGTAACCTAGAGAACCACTAAAAACCCGAGAGATTGCGAAGCTAGAGGAACGGCCCTTGGCTGCAGCTCCGATGGTAACACGGGAATCCAGAAAGCAACACTACGCTGAGACGAGGTGGACTTAGCTAGGGACTTAATCCAGCTCTTAAACACTCTAGCCTCGTTCACGTTGATATGCCCAGGATGTTTGAAGTTATATCGGAACAGCTCCCGAAAAGGCAAAGACGAGCAGATCTCAGAGACCCACTCCGGATCTTCATGCCACTCTCGGTGGGATACGGCTCGCAGGATGCCTTGTCGAGGCCAAAGCTTGCGTCGGCTGCAATGCCGAACCGGTCTTGCGTGATCTTGATCGCAGCCTGAGGCAAGGGCTCCCAGTAGCCCGCCGTGCAGCAAAGGACACTGAAGCAAGTCTTCTTGCCAGCGGCAATGGCAAGCCCAAACTAAAAGGGTCAACTCTATCCCCAACGGAAAGCTCAACTCCGAAAACAGTCTGGCAGTCGGGTTTACAGAAAGCTTTGAAGACCTAACTGATGCCTCGTCCAAAGCAAGCCTGTGCCGTGCAGAAGTGTTGGGTGGAATCAGCGCATCGACAATCGTCTTGCAATCTGGCGACCCAAGACTTGTTATGCAACCAAAGGACTCTCTTACGAAAAGGTGACCCAAAGTTGCAAAAGCAAAAAGTGGTAAGCACACACCCCATTTCTGCAAGGGTGCGGAAGCAGGTACATTAGAGCTGAGCCCAACGGTAGCTGGGCCGAAACATACTGCCCATAACTTAGAGCTGTAGCCAGAACAAAGGCCGTGATCCGTGTCAAGCCCTAGCGGGGTGCTTGGGACTAGAGAAGAAAGTGGCAGCTGCTGAGGCGATTTATGGTCGTCGATCGCTAAAACCTCAATATGGAAAGTATGCGGGATGGAGGTGACATCTTAGCACCTTATGCTTTGGCATGGAGCCGCAAGTCTGTCGCAAAGTCGCCACAAAATCCGCGCTCAAACCGAAAACGGCTTGCCTGTAAAACAAGGCAAAGCGCCCAGCCTTGTTAATAAGGCACATGTCAACCGCTCCGTGGTTCCAGCGCACAGTGGTAAAAAGGCCGGGCAGGAAGCTCTGGCAACCATTCCAAAACTCCGCAAAGAAGATGTCTTGCCGCGACCCTGCGTGCGTCACCCATGTTGGCATTGGCGGAACGCGCATTGCTAAGACCCGAAACCATGCTTGAGGAATTAAAAACCCTAGTGGTCGGCGTGAGTTACAGTGGCAAACAACGGTGCTTAAGCAGCACAAGCCCAATCACCAGGGTAGCAACGGAGCGTTTTGATTGATTTCAACAGACGCGGTCGCTCGCGACACTGGTCGCCGCATGTCGGGCAAAACTTTGGTAAAGCTTCAAACACGTCTCCCTCGCAGAATTCCGCAGTTTTCGAGCTCGGGTTGGTCCCCATTTTGAGGCCAAAAATTGGTTCCCAAAGCTGAGACCGCCTGATTGGAAACTATTAGGGGAGACCCCATTTTGGGCTTCGTTTTTGGAGCTCGAAAATGGGCTCTAGAATGGATCGAAAACCTTTGGACAAAGACGCTCCCAATTGGATTGGAACTTTGCTCGAAAAACAACCTTGTAGCTATGCGCGGGGTCTGTGCGTGGTCAGCTTGAGACTGTTGACCATGATGTCATGACAACTACTTGTCATAAATACCACAGCATGGCAAGCAAGGCGGCAACTGACTGTTACAGTGGCAAACAACGGTGCTTAAGCAGCACAAGCCCAATCACCAGGGTAGCAACGGAGCGTTTTGATTGATTTCAACAGACGCGGTCGCTCGCGACACTGGTCGCCGCATGTCGGGCAAAACTTTGGTAAAGCTTCAAACACGTCTCCCTCGCAGAATTCCGCAGTTTTTGAGCTCGGGTTGGTCCCCATTTTGAGGCCAAAAATTGGTTCCCAAAGCTGAGACCGCCTGATTGGAAACTATTAGGGGAGACCCCATTTTGGGCTTCGTTTTTGGAGCTCGAAAATGGGCTCTAGAATGGATCGAAAACCTTTGGACAAAGACGCTCCCAATTGGATTGGAACTTTGCTCGAAAAACAACCTTGTAGCTATGCGCGGGGTCTGTGCGTGGTCAGCTTGAGACTGTTGACCATGATGTCATGACAACTACTTGTCATAAATACCACAGCATGGCAAGCAAGGCGGCAACTGACTATGGGGGTACCTTAATGCGTCCTACAGTTTTCGTGGTTTTTCGAACACTGAAAATGGCCTCGCGCGATAGTACAATTTTGGAATTGTTTGTCCACAAATCTTGAAACCTTCCAGACCCCCCGCTCCCCCCAAATTCAATGTTTACATAGAAGCGCCCAATGAGCATTGCGGCACACATTGCGGCACACATTGAAATTGAGGGGGCGGGGGGGAGGTTTCTGAATATGCAAACAAGAAGACTGTCAATGACTGACTGCTGCTGCACTCGATAAAAACCATAACTCCTTCATAAAGTCTCGTTATAGATCCTCCCCGAAGTCCTGCCTGATCTTTCCCTAAACCCTCGCATGGCCAAGGCCCCCGTAAACTTGTAGATAGACTACCCTACAATTTTTTGCACATGCCACCCCTCATGTTTTTCGTGTATGCTCCTCCAAACGCTTGCTTGCGGACCCCCCCCCAAATCCTGCCTTGCAGATCCTGCCCTAAACTCTGCAGATCCTTCCCTAAACCCCCCCTTTTGCATTCCAAACCCTGCCCCGCAGATCACTCCCCAATGCCTCCTGCAGCACAAATTCCTATTCTTCGTGCGCATTTCCAGTGTTTTGGTGGTCCTGCAGGCCTCCCAACCCTTAGCCCTCCAGATAATGCCGCCCAAGCCTCCACCTGGCATAGTGCCCGAATAGTGCCCGAAGTGCCCGAAATAGTGCCCGAAATAGTGCCCGAATGAACCCTTCATAGTGCCCAAATACATTTCCTTTCGTAAAAGAAGGAAAATCTCCTTTTTCTTCGCGAAAAATCATTTGGGCACTATGAAGGGTTCATTCGGGCACTAGTTCGGGCACTATTCGGGCACTATTCGGGCACTATTTGAAGGCGTCTACTATTCATGCACCGCAGCCTTGCCAAGTCCCTCCCAACACTTCTCCAGGCCTGAAAACCTCCGTCCAGGGCTTCCCTACCCTGCCACACTTGCGACGAGCTTTACGAGCCCATTTTCGGGGCCCGGAAAACAACAAAAAACGTAGGACACATCAGAGTACCCCCACAGTATGGTCCGACCTGGATCGCGCCGGCAGCTCCTGCTCAGTGTCCGGTTCCTCCGAACCCTGCGTTGGGAGGTGAACAACTGCAGCAGTGGATGTTGCAGATGCTGAACAACCAGAACACGGCTTTACAGCAACAGCAGAATCAGATGAACTTTCTGATGCAAGCTCAGAGTGCTCAGTTGACCCTCTTGAACCGCCGTTTGGACGAGGAAGAAGCCAGACGGAAAGCCGACGAGGATCTGCGAAAGGTGTCTTCGGACCCCTTTGCAGCTGCAGTGGCTGCTAGCAGTTCGGGAGCAGCGCCGACGGCGCCTACTGGGTCGCTTGTTGCCCCTCCGAGTGGGCCTGCTGCGAGTTCTGGAAGCTTTTCGAGTTTTGGTGGTCGTGCAGAGAAGTATCTTCCACCCCTGCCTCTCATCAATGCTGGTGAGATGAAGCAAGGCCGGATCCGCGAGCTTGAGGAGTTCCACCGCTTTCTGGAAGTGCTGTCCAGCTGGCTAGCATTGACCGATGACGCCTTTGTTGGCGAGCTAAGGCAGTGCTTGTTTGTTGCTGGTGAGATCCAGCAGGTTACTTTGCCCAGTGACACTGCGGGAAGAAGTGCACGTCTTTTTTACCTGTTGCAGCAAGCTTTGGCAAAGTGGGACAGAGGATTGGAGATCCTCCGGAGTGTTTCGACACGCCAGAGCAATGCAGCTGCAGGATATGAGGGTGTGAGAGAGCTTTACCGGCAGTACTCTGTGAACAGCCGCATGGAGGCGGTGTATATCAGAGACGAAATGCTAAAGCTCCACACAAAGACTGCAGCGCTGAAGCGCCCTCTGGAAGTTGTGCGTTTCCTCGAGGACGAAATCTCCAAGGGAGATAAAAAGCTGGTGCGTTTTCCCGACCTCTGCTTGAACGCCGCCGACAGATCGGCCATTTTGCTGCAAGCTGTGTCAGTGCAAGCGAGAGAGTACTTGGTGCTGCATGGCAAGACTGGCAGTTGGACCGAGATGGCGGAGAGTCTTCGTTTTTACGAGGAGCAGCTGCGCATGGTGGAGCTGCCAAGTGGTGGTTTGCGTGGCCTCAAAGGAGACAAAGGCGGGAAAGACGGCAAAGGCGCGAAAGGAGGAAAAGCCGGCGGTGCCAAGGACAAGTCCCAGATTGTCTGCTGGTACTGCGAGAAGAAAGGGCACTATCAAGAAGAGTGCCGCCAGAGGATCGCAGATGAGAAGAAGCAGGGCAAAGGCGACAAGAGCAACAAGCCCAAGGGCAAAGGCCAGGGCGACAAAGACAAAGGAAAGGGCAAAGAGAAAGGCAAAGGCAAGCATGGCAAGGATAAGGGCAAGGACAAGAAGACCAAGAAGCAGCACGCCCGTGCTGTAGCGGATGGCGAAGCAGAAGAGGAGCCGGAGGGAGAGACTGTGATGGCCCTTCGCGCTTCTGGCGAGTTGATTCCGGTTGATGCCCGCGGTGGCGTCTTGAGGACGACTCCTTCGACACCTGAGGTGCCTGCTGCGGCGCACCGAGTGACCGTTGAGCACAGAGTGTGCTTAGTTGGCATTGAGTCGCAAGATAGCTACTGGCTAGTGGATAGCGGTGCTACTTCTCATTGCATGTCGGTCTCCTGCTTCGAGAAGTATGAAGTCCTTCGCACTTATGATTTTAAGCCCACGCTGTCGAATGCCTCCAACGACATGATTGAAGTGTTGAAGGTGTGTGACGTTCGCGTTCGTTTTGGGAAGCTTGTGGTGGTGCTAGAGCATTGCTTGATCACGAACCTAGATTTCAATGTCTTGTCACCGTTTGTGGCTTGGCAGAGAGGATGGCACACCATGCTCACCAACACACCTCATATTTTCAACAAGAAGAACAAGAAACGCATTCGGTTGACTGTCAAGGATCGCGCTTGGTACGCGGTTGCTGCTTTGAAGGATTCTGGGGATAAGATGGAGGTTGATGCTTTGAAGCCCTCGTCGTCCCCGAAAGCAACGGAAAAGCCTGAAACCACGAAACCCCCGAAAGCCACGGAAAAGCCTGAAACCGCGAAACCCCCGAAAGCCACGAAAGCCCAGAAAGCCCAGAAAGCTCAGGAGCAAAGGTCTTTGGAGTCTGTGAAGAGCCTAGAGTACACGCCTTTTAAGTTTCTGCTGAGGAGCTTGAGGACGCACGGTGGTAGTGCCGTTTCGGTCTGTGAGGGTGCTGCTCTGGAGTCTCTTGAAAGCTGTGAGCTTGACCGCTTTGGCTGTGGTAGCAGAAGTGGCAAGAAAGATTCTGAGGCTCAGCCGTCGTGGACCGCTGGGTCGATGATGATAAGTGTTGTGAGCTTGTGGTGCATGGCTTGCGTTGGCGT